ATTGCAGCAAATCTTCCATGAAAAGACATTTTCTCTAATGCGGTAGTCACACTCGGTGGGTGAAAGAAGGAGAGAGGAAGACGTTCAGAGGAGAGGAGGGGGGAGGAAAGGGAAGAGAGAGTGAAAGACAGAAAGCAGGGACCCCTGGCCCTCTGGCCGTGGAGAAAGTAAGCCTGCTGTTTGATTAGAGAGTGTGGTGGAGCAAAGGAGGGAGGAGAGGACTGAAGGAGAAGAGGAGAGAGTGCCTTAAAAGCAGCCAGATAAAAAGGAGGCAGGAGGAGAGGAGAGGACTGAGAGACAGGCAGTAAAATTAGCCTCATCACTTCACCAACGAGCATGTTCTATGACACATCAGGATAAAAACGCACAGGACAGATGGCAGCCCCCCCCCAGACCCCCCATGTGAGACTGAGGCTCTAATTTGACTCAAGTAATAGGAAACTCTCTGACCAATTAGAGGCTTCCAGCCTGTTTTTTATACTCAATCGTTTGCACGAATGGGGGGAGGTGGGGGGGCAGACACTGATATCAGGATAACAAATAGTTTTCTTGAGTCCAGCTCTGCCAAGTCTGACAGTCTCTTCTCTCCCAGAATGCCGCTGTTCGTCTTAATCCTGTCTCATCACCCATAAAAAGACAGGCCCCTCGCTCCCATTACCAGCCATTCATCTCGACCCACCGCTGCTCACTCAACACTTGGTGCGCCTGCCTCTAAAACGGACGCATTTGTCGCCAGGCCAAAGTCGGCCTAATCCATCAAAGCATTTCATCTCCCTCCTACACTGATTCTGGAAATCCACCATCACCGTTCACTCAGTCCTGCTTCACCAGGGTCTCCACAGATCACACAGCGATACAGACCCTTCGCCCTTAACTGAAGGTTCTCTAGGAGAAAAAATGGTCCTGGTTCACTTTTTGAATTTTTTTTTTTTACAGCATCCAAGTGCACCTGACAGCTGAATGTGAACACGTCTGCAGTGAGAGGCAGAGAGTTTCACAGACAGAGGGAGAGATGCCAGATCTGAGTACAAACTGCTGCTGCTGCTGCTGTGGAGCTGCTGATTTCCAGGTCGGTTGCATCATTCTTTTTCTTTTCCTCATTTACAGATGCAACATTTAACCACTTCTTTCCACTGGCACTTGGGGTTATCGTCTGCGGTGCAGAAAAATAATGAGCGCCGACCACAGTGGGGCATCACTCCTCAGGACCGTGACCATCAGGGGCCCAGCGGTCTGTCTCTTGTGGTGAATCCTTCCAAGACTGTTTGACTTTAAATGAGACGGGTTTTCAGCCCAATCAAAAGACCTTAACAAACCAATCCAGCAAAGCAAGTTCTTGCTCTCTCTGAAGGATTATGAATCAGTTCCTGACCTCTCTGAGCCGTCCACACAGGCCCCACCATCATCATCACCTGTCCACCATTAAGTTATGTTTCTTTTAAACTTTTCTCACTATGTTCCCACAGCCGTGTCTGGGAAGTGACCAATGAAACACCCTCAGGTCATGACCTCTGCTCCTCAGGCAAACCACTGCAGCACTGTAAGCCTAGAGTATCACCAGAGTGCAAAACATGCTGCAGTGAGCATGGATACCAGAGCTACTATTAGCTCCTGGTCCTGGTACAGATACCAGTGTAGCCAGCTAACATGAGACCAGAGAGATCAAATAAGGTCTTTGACTGTTGAATACAAACGCTGTAGTTGTACTGTGTGATTGTATTGACAGATAAAAATACACAGAAATGTACTGATGAAAAATAAAAATATATGTTGCTATGGTACAAATATTTGTGTATTTATTGCCCAATTTGAAATCGAATATTAACTGTTACAAAATCACTATGTCTTTAATTGATTAGATTATTTTTATTTAATTGGGTCCCACCAGTCTCAAAAAATGTTTGCAACATGAATGGGACCACGACCCTGTGTCTGAGACTCATCAAACTGAAGGACTGATGGCGACCTGCGGTCCATAGACACAGTGATGTGCAACTCACTTCAATGACAGACCATTTATGTCCAGACGGCGACAATATGTCGGACCGACTTGAAGTGTATGAATACATCAGAGCACTGAGAATTCCCACAGCACGACTGTGTAAACACAGACGATCTTCTTCACACTTGCTCCGGCCTCTTCACCACACCGCTACTGCCCTCAAGACAAATGTTCCTGAACAAGCACCACCACACTCACGCAAGGGGCAAACAAAGAGCGAGGCAGGGCTTTAGATCTACTCTGAGACAGTCAAAGTTAAGGACAAGAAACGAAAGTAAACAGAGGAACAGAAGGTGGTTTTTTTGGTTTGGTTTTTGGTTTCTCTTCACTTTGTTTTGGCACACTTCTCTCTTCCTGTGCAGGTACTGAGGCTGTGTTTAATATGTAGCAGCTCTGTTCATCTTCAGGCTGCTATTAGGCTTACAGTCCCTTGTTTCTTCTGTCAGGAGCAATAGGACAGTCCATTAGACCAGAGACAAGATCCCCTCTCTGCAGCTGCACCGACACTCGTACACCCGGTCGTCCTCACCCCTCTCCCCTCCCCACGTGTCACTCTCTCTTTATAGTCTGTCACTTTTCATCCAAACTGTGAACATCTGTTCAAGCATGAGGGTAAAAGGTTAAAGTGGAGGGTAAAAACTTGTTGTCTGCCTGAGGTAATCAATGTATGCTCCAGCAGGAGGCGCTCCAAGTACAGGTCAACCTCTGCATATCTCCTCTGACAGAATGTTTGTTTTGCTGTTAGCAGGAAAGCTAAAAGAGCGAGTAAATTAAAATTTGACTGAACCCCAAAACGGGCAACTAGTTTTAGAGAGTACTCCATTGGACCAGACAAAAATACTTCGACTACAAGACTAAACATTCAACTGTCAGCTGGAGAGACAGTGTTTTTTTTAATAACTTGGTAGTCCTCTGTTATCTTTGGATGTCAGGTATGTGATGTTATATTTTTTGGAAAAATGAAAGCCCTGAAAACAGCCCTGATTTGCAGATGTTTTTTTTCCTGGCGTCAACGTCAGCACACTTGTACACACTTGTACACACTCATCGGGGCTGACTGGGGCTGAACAGAAAGTGCTCACAGAGTGATGAAAGAACCATTATGCTGCATCCAGCGTGATATCGCAGCACCATGCTGAACGGACAGCCATGTTATCACCTCTGACCAGGGGCGGGGGGCCACGGGAGTCGGGGCTGACGCCGCTAACAAATACCAGTGCCACTGTGTGTGTATGTGTGTGCATCCCAGTGGTAATAATCACCCAGATTAGAGCGGAGCCAAACCCCCACAGGGTTTTTTCCCCCCAATCTTGCCCCCCTGCTGACTGCCCTGCCCAGTTCAGCCCCGCCTGTAGCTCTGGTCCTGCAGTCTGAGCGTGGATGGGAAGCAGAGCAGCCGCCCTGACATCTCCACCACGCCTGGCTGACAGACAGATGGACAAAGCACTGACACATGCTCCTTTCTTCAAAATCCCAGACATTTCAAACCCTCTTTTTCTCCTATCGATCGCCCACAGCCCAAATTAAATATTGAACCGCCGTAGACACTGCCGGTCCAACATGTTAACCACAAAGGTGCAGTGAAAAGGAAGTTGATACAGCTATCAATATTGTCTGGCTGAGAGATTCAATAGGACGTCCAGGTGAATGGGAAAGTGCAGAGACAAAAAAAATATATATTTTTTTTATTTTAAATCATGGAAACTGAGTGTTAACTGTAGAAAACAGATTTCTGTTGGCTTGAAAAACATGCAGCCAGATGTGAGTTGCTTAATACGAGGGAGGACGCCCTGATTCTGGTACCTATCAACAGTTGTCGGAGCCTCGGTTGAGCTTCTGACAGACAGCACGGAGCTCACATGTCAATCGACGGCTATCTGTTAGCATGCCTTATCAAACAACCATTTCAAGAAAACTCAGACAACCTCCTCCATTCTTTTGTCCCTCCATATATAATATTAAAAAATGACCCACTGATTGAAGAAGGTCCTGGATTAAGATAACAGGCAGAGAGCATGTCAGTAGGTATTACCATAATGAAGAGGGTTGAAATATTCACTTAGAGGATTAAAACAGATCATCTTACCTCCTGTAACGCCGTATCTGTCCCTACTGTTATATCACGGAACAGACTGAACTATAATTATAATATAATAATTTAAAATAAAAAATATATAATCTAGAAAATTCTGATGCGTGTTTCTTGTTATGAACACGTGGATGCTCCTCTGTTTTACTGGATTTGGACATTTTCTCTCCATCGTCTGCCACAGTTTTCATCAGACTCCATTGGGAGTCACTACAGCAGAACATCTTTTCCATCACAGTCTATCGTTTGCCTCCTGAAGGTAAGATCTTGCCAGGCAGCTGCCTCACAAAAAACTCTTCCAAACACATGTTTGAACCAAACGTCGACAGAAGAGCTCAGTCATCACTAACCTTGGACAATTTCATTTCTGAACATATTTATTCAATTTTATGTTCGTCCAACTTCTTCTTACTGGTTTCATCGCTTCCTCTTGGGAAGAAAAAAAACAAAAAAAATCTGATAATTAAGAGGTGAAAATAATTGAAATTGCTTAAAATGCTCTGAGATTTTTTTCCCAACTTTGTTTTTTTTTTCCAGTGTTGCTGGAATAATCTAAAATTTACAGCTAGAGAAGTCGGTCTGCATTAATGCAGTCTGTATTGAAAACCATGTCAGTTTATGCAGAAGGAACCAGTGATTTTTTTTTGTTTACTTATGTTAATCTCGTTTGACTTTTGCAAACAGGTGAAACCTAAACAAATATGATTGATATTAACGGGAGTTCACGGCAGCATCGGGCGGATCTCTCTACACCACAGCATCACTGAACTGAAGTATGATTAGACTGAAATAAAAAGAATAAAACACCAGTTGAAAGTTGCACTATTGTGAATGTGAGAACAGAGGGACCTAAAGAGTCCTGATGTTGGACCACAGGTTGTACCACACTGAACACATCTCCAGCCTTACCTCAGGTTCTTCTGCTTGCTCTCCTTCTTGTTGAGGACTCCGGGTACACAGTTGGTGAGCTCGGTCCAGTCGGCATGCAAACCGCAGCTCCAGCCCGTGGAGAAGCGGGAGAAGAGCCAGGTCTCCTTGCGGTTGGGCCGGTAGCAGGTACACTTCTTCTGGCCCGGTCTGCAGTCGCACGGCACCTCCAGGCGAACATTCTGGACCAGGTGCCTGCCGAAGGTAGTCCCGCCGGTCTTCTGGATGTGCAAAAACACGATCACGTCCTCCCCCTTGATCTGGAAGTCGATCGTCCTCTCCAGATCCCTGACGGGGAAGTAATATTTCTTAACGTAGTGGGGGTCCGGAGTAGGGAAGATGTCCCCCTCGTCTTCCTCCGAGAAGTAACCGTGCGGGGAGCCGAAATTGATCACCCCGGGGGCCACGTACTGATAGAGAATCAGCATGAAACACACGGATCCGACCACGATCAACAAGAATTTGCTGCTCCTCTCGACCATGTTCCTTCCCAGTGCGGTCCCGACAGCACGCTACCATTTCCCAGACAAGCCGACAACAGGGAGCGAGGCGCTGGGCTTCTGCATTCTCGCTCTCCGCTCCTCTCTTCTCCTCTCCGCACCGCTCCGCTCTCACCTCCGCCGCCGCCGCGAGACGCTTGGATTCGGGGTTCAAGAGTGACTCGCTCCGCTTCGAGACGACCGTTGAAGTTGTTTCATCGCTCGAAGACAAGGCAGAGGTTCAAAACAAGGAGAGAGACAGCGTTCAACACCGTGAAAGACGCATTGTGGCTCCGCTTAAAGACGCCACCTCCTGCGGTCGATCCTCCCCCGTTTACTTTACTTTGGTTTCTGGTTCACACACACGGTGACTGACTCACTGAAGGAGTCGGACAGGAACAGAGAGGAACCAAAGAGCCCGGATGAAGAGTCTCTCACTCACTGTCAAAGTCTCTCTTGATTTTTCGCTCTCTCTCTCTCTCTCTCTCCCTCTCTACCCGCGAAAACATCGTAAAAATGAGAATTGTAATATTTACTGGTTTACATACGTCATCACCCAGTAGCAAACCATTGTAATATTTGTCCACATAAAACACGTTAAAACTAGTAGTATTCCGAACAATAAACTAAACTTTTCAACTCCAACGTTTTTTGTTTGAGGGCTGAATCAATGAATAGACACACACTTGAAATTAAATTTAAAAAGGTGTATTTTTTCATCTGTATTCTTTTGCATTTTTCATTCGTCTGCTATGTTCACGAACATTAGTGCAACTCACAGTACAATTACAGCTACTGGTCTATTGTGGGCATTGTTAGCTAACGCTGACGCACAATTGTCAAATATGTCCATCGAGAAGTTACAAAAATAAAACTTTCTTTTGCAACAAGCCAAGCCTGGAAAATATATTTCTGGCTAGCAACTTCAGGTGCACTATCGCCACCTAATGGACTGGAGTATCTTCATCAGTGTATATTATATAAGAGAATAATAGGAGTTCTGCCCAGGGACACAGTGTCATGTAGAACGCACAAGCTAAGGTTTAAACTACTGACCTTCCATTTCGAAGTCAAGCCACAGCACACAGCCAGCTGCACAGATAATTGTTGGTTTTGGCTTCATAGTCCTATGATAAATTGCCCTATTCTAACGTAAACATACAATATATCATTAAAATATAAAAATAAACGCTACATTTATAGCGTGTTTACACACCATACTCCATTAATCAAACATTTTAGTTGAATTCTCAGACTTAAGCAAATGTATGAAAAGAGCATAGAAACCAGTCTGCAACAGTCAGTGATGGATTACCGTGCAGGTCCAGACTAGGGTCCTGAAGACTCCACACTGTCTGTGCAGCTCTTACTGTGTGCAGAAAATCTTGATTATTTATGAATATGTTTTTTAATGCCATCCAGTGAAACACAACAGAGCTGAGACGATGGGGCTTCTCTCTGCAGGCTCCTTATCTTGAGGCTCTGCCCTGAGCTGTGAAACCGGAGGGGGCGTTCAAGATAAGATTTTCTTTTCTTTTTATGAAAAAAAAAATTCAACAACAACACCTCATGAAATAAATCATTATTACCGTGTGAAGTAAAAATGTACCTGTACTTCCCGCTGCTTCTCACATTGCGACCACTAGTGGTCAGCACTGAGCACCATCTCTGCCCCTCTGTGTCTTCAACTACTTGTCAGGGTTGTTTAAACGATTCCCACGGGCGATTACGGCAGAACATGTTTTTACAAATCACATCCTGGGGTTGAAGACAGAGGCGTGTTTCCACTGGCTGCTGTTCACACGTACACGACTCCTGCAGGAGCTGAGTGTGGGCTTTCACCTTCATCTTCATCTTCATCTTCACCCTCACACACACACACACACACCCTTTTTTGTTTTCCCCTTTAGAGGGTTAGGTGTACTTTCTCAGGCGTTTGTTATTGCTGATGTTTGTTGTGGTAATAGGGCAGAAGCATGTGATCAAGCCCAGATTCCCACATGTTTCTCTTAAATGAAGCTCAATCAGTGAGATCAGCTCCATCAGCAGGCCTCGGGCTGTGAAAACAGCAGCCGGTTGTGGCTGATGCTGCTAAATGAGGTTGATGAAGAACCAGAGAGTATTTTTCTCTTTAAGTGGTTTGGGACAATGACATGATTTGTACCGGGTTAAGTCGGGATGAAACTGCCAGCATGCTTTTTTTTTTTTTTTTTCTCCCTGCAATTCCAGCTTCCATGATTTCCCAGGTGAACGAGAATCCATGAAGGCGTGAGGTCATCCTCATCCACCTTCTCTTATTGGTGCCTGACAAATATACTTGTTAAAGTGATGTAAATGATTGGGATTTTCAGCCTTTAAAAATAGACAAAGTGAGCCCAGGAAAAGCTCCAAAGTTCATTACAATTATAGAAAAAAAATGGCAAAAGTTTGTAAAAACTGTGCTGATATTTTAGGCAAAAAATTATATTGAAACACTGAACTAAAAGGCTAGAAAGACGTTAAATGACTTTTTATTTATTTCACATAATTTATATTATTTTTTGAATTATTATTATTAATTTAATGTATTATTTTAAGTTCATTTATTCATTTAATTTACTTGTTTTTATTGTGGGTTAGATCTATAATTAATGAGCTTTTTTTAAAATAATAAAAAGGCAATTCAAATTAAGTTTGATTCAGTTGTGCTGGAAGTGATGCCATCCCTCCTGGAAACATGTTTTGAAAATGTGGAAAAATCATAAATAATGAACAAAGGAGTGGTGGGTCACATAACTGACAAAAATGATTCATCACTAATCAATACCAAGACGCAGGCTCTGTTTTTTTGGTGGACTAATGACTTAAACATTATTTCACTTCAGTGCTGTGTTCCTTCACATCTGGTCACAGTCAAACTTCAACTCCTCGTCCTCCCTCTCTGCTCCTCCTGGTCTCCTCTGAGCTCACCACAGCCGTGTGGACACCACATGTGTCCTGTCACATCTATTAGTTTCATTTGTCAAACACTAAAAGCTCCTTCTCTCTTTGACTCAAGCCTTTTTGGCACTTTGATGGAAAACAGTTTTCCCTTTTGCTCCTTTTTTTCACTGAGATCACACCAACATGGTGACGGCTGTGGGCAGCCTCCATGTGTGGCCCAGATAGGCCTTCAACAGAAAGCAAAGTTTAACTGAAGTTGGCGGAAAAAAAAGTGGAAATGCCAATTTACAACAGTGAAAAATATAAAATATAAATTCAGGGGAAAACTTAAGTCACAGAAAGAGAGATTACTTATAGCAAAACTGCTAAAAGGGAAGTTGTACGCACAAGATAGAAATGTGCAAAAAATAAACGAATCCGTCAAATCTTCTCATATATCTAGCTACTGTTGTTTAAACAGTATTGGTTTTCTTCTTGCGCTGCTTAGCTAGCTCTGAAAACGTACGGCTACAGCTGAGCAAGTTTTGCCCCATTCTGTTTTCGCTCTTCAGTCATCCATCGTTTAGTAAAGTTCCGTTTAGCGTAGCTAAGTTTAGTGTTATGTTAAGTTTAATGTTAGCCCAGAGCAAAAGACAAAAAAGATATTAGCCAAACTGAGGCTAACGTTGTTCAACTGGTTGTGCATGTTGATGTTGATAAACTACTGTCAGCAGAAAGACTCAGTTGGTCAAAAATTGGCTGAATGTTGATGAGATTTTTACAGCAGATCCACGGAGGATAAACTGAAGTTAGCATAATAAGCTAAAATAGCCAAGTTTTATAAAACTAACCAATGTTACATAAAAAAGTTGCCAACATCACCACCCAGAGTTATCCGAGTGTTACATAAAAAAGTTACCAACATCACCACCCAGAGTTATCCGAGGGTAAATCATGTAAGCTGATCAAGGTGCTTTGGAAAATAATCCTGCAGTTAGTTAATCCTGTTTGGATTAGGATTGTTTTTTGTACCGTGAGTGTAAACCGTGCCTCTCTCCTGAGATCATATCATCATGATGTCATCTTTTCTGTGTGTGTCTCCACTGTGGAGCATCCCTCTCTGTGGGCTCATACCCATGTTCTTTACTTACACTGAAGCAGCATCCAGCCTGTCACACTGCTGTTAAACACACTCATCATCATGACTTCTGCCTCGCCTCTGGCATCAACCACTTCTATTAAACACTGACTCCCGTTTTTTTTTTTTTATTCGCTCTTCGAGCTCTGTGCAAGTGTACGAGTGACTGAGAATATTAATACTGTGTGTTAACTTCTCTGTGTGTTATCACAGTGTGTGTGTGCTGTTGTTGTTGCTGCTGCTCTCTCTCTCTGTGTGTCTACCTCTCTCACCCCTCTGTCTTCCTGCATGCACAGTGTCATTTGGAGGCGTGTTACTTAAAGAAGATGGATGTTAGAGAGTGTGTTGCCCTCTGGCTTGGGTATAGAGATATGACAGTGTGTTTATCATCAAAACCAGTTTATTGTTGCCTCTGCATAATGATGCTGCATAAATGGATGTTTTCACACTGTTTCCAGCAGCTTAAGCTGTGCTTTATGTGCTGCCTCACTGTCCCACACTCACACGTTGTTTTTAGCCACTTCTTTCCTTGAGTTTGCAGCAGGCTAGGCAGTGAACTTAAGATTGGCAACAAATGTTAATCTGCACTCTGCTATCTGTGTATCTGTTGGGACTAACTCACAAATATTGACCCCCACTTTGTTTATCTTGAACATAGGTATTCTAAACAACGTTTCCCCTGATGACTTTGCTACTTTTTAGCCACTGTCTTTGCTTACCTACAGTATACTTTTCATGACACAATTTTTGGCTAGGCCAGGCGGGGGCAAACTTTTTGACTCGCGGGCGAGAACTGTCTCTAAAATTGAACGGGGGGGTCAGGAGCAGAGAGATGGAGCGTATGTGCGAACTAAGATAAATGACATGTAAAAGTCATGAAGAACGGCTAAAATGCTTTTATCATATTTTACACCATCTATTGGGGAAATGCAGGTATTGCAGGTAGAAGTATAATGATATTTAAATAAATTATATAATTTAAAAAGATTAAAAAGATGAACGGGCCACATCCGGGCCCCCGGGCCTTAGTTTACCTATGCCTGGACAAAGCATTTTTAAGCTTTTGATTGGAAATCTTTTTTTCTTGTTTTCTTGCAATTTTTACAGCTAATTTACGCTACGGTGGGGCCTTCTTTCGTGTAATTGTTACATTTGTGCTTTTGTGGCTATTTGTTGTTTCTTCCTTAACATTTAGCAACAATGAATTCAATTCATTTTCACTTTCATTGGACATATCTGGAAAATATTAAAGTCCACTGTTTTTACTGAATGTTCTATTAGCATTTTTATTTTATATCTCAGGTTCCAGTGTCCTACAACATTTATCATTCAGACCTAGTAAAAAAAAAGTCTCTTCATTATAGATAGTTTTTACAGAGACGTTGAAGTCACTGAGGAGGAGATCCAGGGACAAACAGAAATAATTCAAGGACGTTTTGTCCTCGGCATCAGTTATCAGCAGATCCCGTTTGTATGGTAATAATTAAACAGCACGTATTAAATCCAATGTGTTTTCCAGATAGACCACACACACGCACACACACGCACACACACA